GGACGAAGATCCAGATAGGAGGGAGGCACAGAGAAAGAGGTCAGTAAATCTGCATCGGCATCCTCTGGGGCTTTGGATAAATTCTGAACCACAGACTGGGCTAGAACAACTTCCCAGGTAATACTAATTATCAGGAGCCATAAAATAAATAATTCTCAGCACTACTGATAACAGGGCCAGACATCATTTTTCTTCCCTCCTGCTGGAGTAGGGAGACATCGTTCAGTAGAAACTCCCAGAAGAACTGCATCTTGCAAATGAGACTAAATTGTTTCTTGGATGAAGGATTCTCCAGATCTGTTCTTTCTTTTTTCTTTTCTTATTTTGTAAGATTTATTTTATTTATTTGAAAGGCACAGTTACAGAGAGAGGGAGAAAAGAGAGAGAGAGAGAGAGAGAGAGAGAGAGAGAGAGAACACTATTCTATTACTAGAATAGAGCTAGAGGTCTAGAGATAGGCTGGACTGAAGTCAGGAGCCAAGAGCTTCCTCTGGGTCTCCCACGTGGGTTTCCCATGTGAGTGCAGAGGCCCAGCGACTTGGGCTATCTTCTACTGCCTTCCCAGGAACATTAGCCCAGAGCTGAATCAGAAGTGGAGCAGCCAGGACTCAAACCACCACCCATATGGGATGCTGGCATCACAGGTGGCAGCTTTACCCAACATGTCATAGCACCAGCCCTCAGGTCAGATCTGTTCTTAAAAAGGTTTATTTTTTCTTTCAGTCTTGAAATGATCACATGAATATATAATTTATACAGCTCCAGTGTTCAACAATGTAAAATTCAAAATGTCTAGGGGCAAGTACTGTGGTAGTATGGGTTAAGCTGCCTCTTAGGATGCCCACATCTCATATCAGAGTGCAAGTTCGAGTCCTGGTTCCTCTGTTTCTGCTCCAGCTTCTTGCTCATGCTTCCTGGAAGGCAGCAGATAATGCCTCAAGTGTTTAGGCCCCTGCCACCCACATGGGAGACCCAAAAGGAGTTCCGGGCTGCTGGCTTTGCCCTGGCCCAGCCCTTTGTTGTTGTGGGCTTTTGGGGAATGAAGAGCTCGCCCTCTCCCTCTTGCTCTCTCTCTTCCTTTGAAATAGATGAAAATAAACAAACTTTGGCTTATTGCACTCAACATGAATTCTTCCACGTGCAACCATTTTGATAAATGATTTATTTTTGTTTTTCTTCTAGGTGTTTTTTTTTTTTTTTTTGGTAAAAAAAAAAATAAGGAAATACACAGTGTGTTAGCATTATGTGTAGTAGGACCTCAAAACTTCTCCTTTCTAACTGGGTATAACCTAGTACCCATCATCAACCCTTCAGCATCCTCTCCCTCCCTAGCCTCGGGTATCCATCTCTGAATTTGTTAACTTCTGTGAGATCACCTGTATTTTAGACTCCACATATTAGTGAGACCATGTGATATTTGTCCTTCTGTGCTTCGCTTATTCCACTTAACATATTGACCTCCATTTCCATTCATGTTGTTTTAAATGATAAGATTTTGTTATTTCTGTGGCTGAGTAAATAGTCCATTGCGTATATGTACCACATATTCTTTATCCGTTCATCAGTGGATGGACACTTACATTGTTTCCATTTCTTAGCCATTGTGAATAGCTATGCTGCAATGTATGTGGGAGTCCAGATGTCTGTCCAATAGAGAGAGTTCATTTCCCTTGGATGTATACCCAGTAATGGGTTTGCTGGATCATACCGTAGATCTATTTTTAGTTTTCTGAGGAACCTCCATACTGTTTTCCACAATGGCTGTATTAATTTACATTTCTCCTAACTGTGTACAAGGGACTTCTTTTTTCCATATCTTCACCAACACTTTTGTCTTTTTGGTAATAACCAGTTGTGCTGGAGTGAGGTGATATCTTATTGTACTTTTTTTTTTTAAGTGAATCACCTCCATAGGCATTTTTCTTTGAAGATTTATTTATTTATTTGAAAGGTGGAGTTACAGAGAGGTAGAGGCAGAAAGAGTTCTTTCACCCACTGATTCACTCCCCAGATGGCTGCTACAGCAGGAGCTGGGCTGATCCAAGGCCAGGAACCAGGAGCTTCTTCCCGGTCTCCCACGTGGGTGCATGGGCTCAAGGACTTGGGCCATCTTCTACTGCTTTTCCATGCTATAGTAGAGAGCTAGACCAGAAGTGGAGCAGCCAGAACTCAAACCGGTGCTCATATGGGATGCCAGCACTGCAGGGGCACCTTTACTCGGTAGGCCGTTGGCCCTTCATTGTGGTTTTGATTTGCATTTCGCTGATGATCAGTGATGCTCATCATTTTTTCATGTACCTGTTGTCCGTTTGTATGTCCTCCGTTGAGAAATGTCTGTTTAAATCTACTGCCCATTTTTATTTTTTAAGCCTTATTTATTTATTTAAAAGGCAGAGTGACAGAGAGAAAGGTGTTTTCCCTCTGCTTGTTCACTCCCCAGATGCCTGCACTAGCAGGCCGAGGCCAGGAGGAAGCAGGGAACTCCGACTGGGTCTCCCACATGTGTGGTGGGGAACTCGAGTACTCGGACCATCATCTGCTGCCTCCCAAGCACGTTAGCGAGAAGCTGAATCAGTTTCCTGTCTAGGTTCAGGAAGTTGTGTGTCATTGTGGCCTTGACCATGCTTCCTACCCCTTGGCATTCTCAGGTCCCTCTTAAATCTCAGTGACTCACATATTGCTTCTTACGCTATTGCATAGTTCTATCAGCTTTCTTCATCTTCTTTTTTCTCTTTCAACCATGAATTTTCAAATAGCCTGTCTTTTTTTTTTTAATAGCCTATCTTTAAGCTCACTGATTCTTCTGTTTCTTCTAGTCTGCTGTTGATACTTTCTGTTGCATTTTTTAGTTTTATTTAGTGTACTTTTAAGTTGAAGGATATCTGCTTGATTTTTATTTCCATCTGTTTATCAAATCTCTGTTAGAATATCAGGTCATTTCTCTGTGTTCTCTTGAATTTGGTTGAGTTTCTATAAAACAGCTACTTTGAAAAGTTCATCCAAGATTTGAAAATTTCATTTCCTGGGTGGTTGGTTCCTCACACCTTATTTTGCTCTGCAGGTCAGATCCTGCTTCCCTGGAAGCCCTTGATGGTGCGCGGCATCAGCTACATGTTAGGGCTAGTTAAAGTAGTCCGGCTTCCTGTGTGGCTGTCCTTCTAGAAATTCTAAGCAATCTGTTGATTTTCTGTGAGCCTAAGGATATTTATGCTAGTTCAACACTAGATAGCACCCTAAGTTGCAGTTTGCCCCCAAGTCTACTGTTGATATATTTACTAATTCAGTCTTACAGTGCTCCCCAAATTCACATTTATCCCTAATCTGCAGTTGCTGCGTTGTTCAGTATGAACTGGAGAAGGGCCTAGAGGAGTATTCCGCCCAAGAAAGCCTCTTCCTGGGCCTTTGGTAGGCTCAGACTCCTTGTCCTGTGTCCATAAATCCCACACTGCTAGGTAACAGCCAGAGCCCTCAGCCCAGCAAGACCACTGCAGCCTGAGGGTAGGACTGAAGCTGTCTCTGTTACTACGAAGTGGGGCTCACTGCCTGCTGCCACATCTGTCAGCCACTGGTGATGTTGTCTAGCATATAAGAGTGCTCCCCTGGGACCACAGAACTCCACTGGGCATGGAAACGGCTCCAAGGGCTCTATCTGCAGGTGCTAGCCTGGAGACATATCTGCAGGCACTAGCTTGGAGATGGGGACTGATAGAACCTGTTCAGTGCTGAGTTTTACCAAGCTGCCACTGAGTCCCAAAACAATCCTGTGATTCCTCACTGTCTGCCCAAGATTGTAGGAGGGGAATAGAGGCAGCTGACCCTCAGCTACCCAGGCAGGGCCTAGGTGGGTCACACCTGAGTCTCATAGTGGCCAGGCCTGGTGCAATCTTGGGGGTACACACCAGGCCTGCAGAAGGGCTGTGGTGCCATATGCCAAAACAAGTCTGTCTCATCAGGGCAGAGGTTTCCACCTGATACTGGGGCAAGTCCAGAGACTGTCCACAAGTACTTGTCTTGGGTTGAAAACTGTTAAGATCTGCGCAGCGTTAGGCTTTAGCAGCTCAACACTGAGTCCCAAGACACAGTCCTGTGGCCTCTTGCTGCCTGCCCAGGTTTGCAGGAGAGTGATAAAGGCAGCTCTTTGGCCACCCAGGCTGGCTCCAGGCTGGTCCCAGCTGGACCCCACAGTCACAGGCCCCTACAAAGTCCTGGAGGCATGCACCAAGCTCACCAGAGGCTAACAGTGCCACCTGCCAAAGTGGGCCAGACCACCCCAAGCACAGGTCTCTGCCTGAGGCCAGGCAACTCTAGAGACTGACTCAGTGAGCAGTAATGGGACTGGATACCTTCCACCTTTATCAGTTGCCCAGTGTGCATGCAGCAGACCCTGCTCTGAGCCCTGAGGCCCGGTCCTAATCTTCCTCCCCGGGCTCAGAACTGCTAGAGCTGCCCTTTCTGCCAGTGGTTGAGAGGGGCGACAGATGAAGCTCCAAATACTCACTCCATGGCTATGGGCCTGAGGGCCAGGGCACGGGGGGATGGGGGTGGGGTGGGAAACCCATGTGACTGAACTTTTCCCCAGCGGGCCTAACACTGGGAATCAGTTCGCACTCCCTTTCCCAGGTGGGAGTCATCTCTCCACACCCCACTCCCTGGAGCAGGGCAAGGGTTGATTTAGCAGCTTTTTTCCTTTTTCTGTTGTTCAGAAAAGTGTGACTTTTCATATGATTATAACAAGGTGAGGCCCTGTGGTCTTACCTGGCTTCTGCAGCTCTTGCAAAGGTGACGTGGTGTGTGTGTGTGGCTGTTCACACTGGAGTCTCTATAGGGAGGGAGTCACCAGAGGCTCTTACCTGCCATCTTGGCTCCAACTTGAACTACATCAAACCACACTAATAACCACTAATAATAATAGACCCCCACCCCTGGGTGAAAACAGGAATCATGTGGCTTTCACTTGGAATGAAATCGAACGGTCGTGTTTGCTGGTCTTTTTCTTTCAGATGTGACAGTGGTTTATCAGAATGGACTACCTGTGATATCTGTGAGGCTACCGTCCCGGCGTGAGCGCTGCCAGTTCACACTCAAACCTATCTCCGACTCCGTTGGTGTCTTTTTACGACAACTGCAAGAAGAGGATCGGGGAATTGACAGAGTGGCAATCTATTCACCAGGTATTATTTTCATTTTCAACAAGTTTATTTGAAAGATTGAGAAAGATAAACAGAGTACCCATCCACCCATTCACTCTCCATATGCTTGCAACAGCTCAGGCTGAGCCAGGACAAAGCCAGAAGCCAGAAAGTTGATCCAGATCTCCCATGTGGCTTGAGACTACTTGAGCCATCACCTGCTGCCTCCCAAGGTGCACTTCAGCAGGAAGTTGGAATGAGGAGTGGAACTGGGACTCAAACACAGGCACTCCAATATGGAATGCAGGCGTCGCGACCAGCGGCTTAACTGCTAGGCCGAACACCCGCCCCAGCATTCATTATTAATTCCCAGGCACGGCTCATTTCCCCCCAACGCTGTTTCTAGGCACACACATCACTGCAAAAGAACCCCATACTGTTAACTTTAGAAAACATGTTCTTGATGCCAGAAAAGAAAGTGATTTCTCTTCCAGTCATTCGCAAGAGCTAATTTTTCAGTTTTAGCAAATGTGTTTGCACCACAAGTCTCATTTAAAAACTACTCACATATAAGGCCATGGGCAAGGATGAACAGTTGGTCATATTTTTATGTTATGGAAACTTTTTATCATTACTTTTGCTGTAGAATAATTTTTCTAGTAATTGAAACCTCATCTCTGGAGATATGAAATATTAGAACTTGTTTTAAATCTTCTTGTGCTTGTCACATAAAAGATTACCAAAATAAAACGTTTATGATCTGAAAAGAATTTAAAATAAGGCTCTAAAAATTCCCATTTGACATACATCTGTTGTGTTTTTTTGTTGTTGTTGTTGATTTTATTTTCGTCTACTTAAAAGGCAGAGCAAGACAGAGGGAGAAAGAATGCACTTACATCTGCTGGTTCACTCCCCAACTGACCACAACAGCCAGGGCTGGGCCAGTTCAAAGCCAAGAGCATAGAGCGCCATCTGGGTCTCCCATATGGGTAACAAGGGTCCAAACACTTGGGCCACTGCCTGCTGCCTCTCAGGATGCAATAGCAGGAAGTCAGATCAGGAACAGAGCAGCCACATCATGGGATGTGGGTTTCCCAAGCAGAATGGATTTAACCTGCTGTGCTACAGTGCCTGCCCCCACATTTCATTTATTTATATTTTAAGTGCCTTAATTTTTTTTCCTGCTTATACTTTGAAAATTTTCAAGAGGCTGGCAATGTGGTGTAGTGAGTTTATGGGCACTGGTTTGGGTCCCAGCTGCTCCACTTCTGATTCAGCTCCCTACTAATTCACCTGGGAAAGCAATGGAGAGTGGCCCAAGTCCTTCGGCCCCTGCACCCACGTGGGAGACCTGGAAGAAGCTCCAGGCTCCTGGATTCGGCCTGGTCCCGCCATGGCTGTTGCAGCCATTTGGGGAGTGAACCAGCAGATGGGAGACCTCTCTCTCCCTGTCTCCCTCTCTTCCTCTGTTACTCTGCCTTTCCAAATAAAATAAATCTTTAAAAAAAATCCACAGGATTATCTCTCTTTTTAAAAAAAAGAAGAAAATTTACTGGAAACCACAGCATTTAGTACAGTAAATACCCATTTACCCTTCACCTGGATTCACTAATTGTTAACAACTGGTGCCTTTCTGTGCTTTAAGTATTTTAAATATACTTAATTCCCAACTTACTTAGTAGTATAATTAGTAGACCAGGTTGGTAGCTATGCTAGCACTCATCCCAGCTGAATTACTGGCAGCTAAGCAGTGACTGTTCTGAAAAGTTCCAGATGGGAGAAGACTGCATTTTCACTGTTTCCCTCATAGATAGAAACCTATAGCTCTGTGGCCAGCCGTATTTCACTTGCCATACAGCTCCATAGGAAAAGCCTGCTGCCAAATCCTCGCAGACCTGAGGCCTGCAAACAAACACTTCAGCCAACCTAAACTTTGGTTAGCATAGAGCTGGAGATGAGGTTAACCGAAATATAAAAGGGAAGAGGTAATTTTTAAAGTCTATTTTGAGGATTGCTTTTTCCCGACCACTCTTGAGTAACTGCGGACATATGACAAGTCTTATTTAACATCCCACAGATGGTGTGAGAGTCGCTGCCTCCACAGGAATAGACCTCCTCCTCCTCGATGACTTCAAGCTGGTCATCAATGACTTCACGTATCTCGTGCGGCCACCAAAGAGAGGTAAGAGAACGGCCTGGACAGTGGCCCAGAAACGTGGGGGTGCCTTTTGGAAAGAACTTGGTTTTTCCCTGGGTTACCTTGAGACACTGACAATATTCAAAGAACGCCGCAAGTTTTACATACAGATAGATTCTGTTTCAGTTGAAGAGCTCATTAAGCCCCTGGCATTTGGCGAGTTCATTGACTGAAGCCACTTAGATTCTGCCTAGACACTAAGATGCTTTATTATCTGGCAGTCACTTCGTTTGCATAAATGGATGTCTTACCTCACGTAAGTGCCTTCCCTCTGCACCAGCTTAAAGTCATCTTAATAACAATATAGGAGAAATTTTAAAAAATAAATCATGGGCTTCCCTGTTCTCTTTAACATTGAAACAGATAATAATCTTTTTTTTATATTTGAAGGCTCAAGGTCAGCAGTCTGAAAGTCAATTATTCAGTAATAGACCCACAGAATTTCTGATGTGTATATGCCTTATATGAAAAATGGAAGCGCTCACCTCAGGTGCAGCTTTTAAGAGGGCACCAAAAGCTCAGTCATCAAGATAAGTAAGATTTTATGGCACTGTTTCTCAAAATTGAAGGTAATGCAAAAAATCCATGGTGAATAAATATCAAAATTTAAAATACATAGTCAGTATTTCTGAGTTTTCTTTTCAATCCAGGTTCCATGAGGCTCTGCACAATACTAAAATAGCCCTCTGAAATAGGATTTTTTAAAGGATTTATTTATTTAAAAGGCAGAGTTATAGAAAAGCAAAGGCAAAGGCAGAGAAAGAGTGAGAGAGAGAGAGAGGGAAAGAGCGAGAAAGAGAGGTCAGTCTTCCATCTGCTGGTTCACTCCCCAAATGGCCACAATGACCGGACTGGGCCAATCTGAAGCCAGGAGCTTCTTCCAGGTCTCCCACTCAGATGCAGGGGCCCAAGCACTTGGGCCATCTTCTACTGCTTTCCTAGGTCATAGCAGAGAGCTGGATCAGAAGTGGAGCAGCTGGGACTCGAACTGGAGCCCATGTGGGATGCTGGCACTGCAGGTGGTAGCTTTACTCTCTATGCCACAGTTTCGGCCCCTCAAATAGGATTTTAAGCTGTGTCTTTTTTGGTCATTTTCTCACCCTGACATTGTCACTTACTATTATCGGTAATGCCCCTTCCATCACCAGCACTCCCTCTGTTAGCCTCCTAAGATATCTCTTCTTTTGGATTCCGCCTTTGAGAATTGAGTCTTTTGGACAAAAACTTCTGAGTGAAGACCTAAGTATTAAATGCAATCATAATCTGGTCCACACCTGGCTTTTTAGACTTCCTCTGTCCTACTTTGCATGTTACCTGCTTTCCCTCCGCGCGTATTGTTGTCCTAAGGGTGCCATCCCAGTGTTCACTCTCCTTTCCTCGCCTGTGATGGCCTTCTTCCTCACTGTCAAAACTGCCTTTCTTTGACTGACTCTCGAGTGATTCATTTCTTCTCTGAATTCTACTTTTTTTTTTTTAAGTGTTCTGAAGGAAGGTACTGCAGTTTTGTGTTCTGCATTGACTCATGTGGTTATTCTATATTGAGTGAATTAAATAAGTTAACTGGGAAACATGTTGGTTGTTCAGAGGCCAGAGTCTCTTCTTTGTTCAGCCCAGATGACAAAGAACTATCTGAAAAACAAGTATAGAAAAGTATCCTCTAAGTAGTAAGAGTGGAAAAGTATCCTTTAAATAGTAAGACATTATTGAATCAGATTTTATTAAGTTGGGATAACTTAATAGATAAACTAGTGACCATTTATCAGCTATGCTAATGTGTGTTTCTTCTTTATTCCCTGATTCCCAGGTTAGAAGTTCTCTCTCCCTCTCTCTTTTTTTTTTTTAAGATCTATTAATTTGTGGGTACAGCACTGTGGCATAGTGGGTAAAGCTACTGCCTGCAGCACTGGCATCCCATATGGGCACTGGTTTGAGACCCTGATGTTCTTCCAATCCAGCTCTCTGCTAATGCTCCTGAGAAAGCAGTGGAAAATGGCCTAAGTCCCGGGGCCCCTGCACCCACATGGGAGACCCTGAAAAAGCTCCTGGCTCCCGATCAGCCCAGTTGCAGCCATTTGGGAAGTGAACCAGTGGATGGAAGATGTCTGTCTCTGTCTCTACCTCTCTCTCTCTCTCTGCAACTCTGCCTTTCAAATAAAAATAAATGAATATTTCTTTTTTAAAAAAAAATTTGTTTATTTGCTTGAAAGGCAGAGTTACAGAGAGAGAGAGTTAGAAATTTGCCACTTAAAGATTTTTTAACGTTAAATTCATACATCTAGGTTCTCTTAGCTCTGTATGTGCCAGTGAGTGATTCTGTCATCAGATACCATCTCCCACAGAAGCTCAAATAATACTAAGTCCATGAATACTTTTTCTGTTTTTTAAAATAAAAAATAGATCTGAATTTTATTTCTGCCTTTTTATCTTCCTCTGCCTGATTGAGAAAGATGCTGACATACAAGCGGAGTAGAGTAAGAGGGCGTTTGGATTTCTGTATTTAAAAGGAATGATGTTCATCCAAATGATTGATCCTGTTCTTTTTTACTGCATTGTGATTCTTTTTAAAGTTTATTTTTGTTTATTTGAAAGGCAGAGAGAGCAGGTGAGTTCCCATCTGCTGGTTCACTCCCCAAATGCCCACAATAACCAGGGGTTTACAGGCTAAAGCTTGAGGCCAGGAATGCTATGTAAGTGGTAGGCACCCAATTACTTGAGCCATCACCTTCTGCTTTGCATTAGCAGAAAGCTGGAATTGGGAGCAAAGCCAGGAGTTGAACCCAGACACTGCACCACGGGATGCAGATGTCCCAAGCAGCATCTAACAGCTGTGCCAAATGCCCACCTCACCACACTGCTCCTCTTTAGTGAAAAGGGTAAATGGAGGAAAGAAATGGAAAGCATTATAGAACTGCTGTGTCAGGTAATGAGGAGTAACACTAGGGTGTTCTGTATATATGGGACAGGCAGAAAAAATTTGCTTTTCCTAATAAAAGTTACAATCATTCATGAAGGAACACTTTGCTAGGACAGTTTTTCACTTTTGACACAAATTTTCTACTTACTCTTTACCCCTTTAGCTTTTATTTCCTTTCCTATTTATTCTTTTCTCTGTTTATGGCCAGCATCTTGGAACCAGAAATGCTCTATAAATGTGTGTACCAGTTTTCTCTAATTTCACACATCTCCACTAGGTGTCAAGGACAGAGGGCTTATTCATCACAAATCTAGTAAAGCCATGTTTGATGTTTATGTAGGGTTGGCTGTCCCAGGGTAGTCATGGATTCTCAGCTGTTAACAACCCCTGTACCTAACCACAAAGTTACAAGGAAGAGGCCAGAGAATACTGAAATGGGACAGGGAACATGTCAGAACAGTAAGGCTGGTTACAAGCTGCATCACATTCTTTTGGTTCCCACAGCTATATATGTAGCTGGTTTCCTCTCTGACCACTGCAGGATGGGAGGAGTAACTGTTTCTATAATTAGATGAGTTTATAATTTAATCTAAATCCAGAACAGAGGAAAGAATATGAAAAGGAGCATAAAAGCCTTTTATCCCAATCCATGTTCAAGTAGTAATTAACTACCCTTCTCTTCACCCTGGAAAGGAATATACCCTGTGTCACTGGTAATTAAGTTTTTGTGCTAAGGAAAATCGTTTTGATTGGCAACACTAAGCCCTTTTCCCCACATTGGAGACCTTGCTTCTCTCTTAATGATGTTAGGGGTTTGAAAGGTTGAACAGGCAAGCCAAATACCAACAGTAACAATTGCCTTATTAGAGACTCCAAAAGCTCAAACCGTGTTTGCAGTGGAAAAGAAATTTTAAGGCCCGTATGTTAGCATATCTCCTCTGCCTTTCTCTACCTTAATTATGCCAGAATTGATGGCATGTACAGAAACAGTAATAACCATCTAATTGCTTGTTAGTGAAGCACACACTAATCATCCTCAAGTGTTGTTACACATTAGCAGATTTATTTTCCTTCTTCCTACAACTTTGTCTCTAAATATGGGGACAGAGATTTCAGGGTCAAGAGCATGGCCTACTCTTTTCCTCTACCATAACAGTACCTTAGGGGCTGGTGCTGTGGCATAGCTGATAAAGCTGCTGCCTGCAGTGCCAGCATCCTATATGGATGCTGGTTCGAGTCTCGGCTGCTCTTCTTCTGATCCAGATCTCTGCTATGGCCTGGGATAGCAGTAGAAGATGGTCTAAGTCCTTGGGCCCCTGCACCTATTTGGGAGACCCAGAAGAGACTCCTGGCTCCTGGCTTCAGATCAGCCCAGCTCCAGCCATTGTGGCCATTTGAAGACTGAACCAGTGGATGAAGATAGCTCACTCGCTCGCTCGTGCTCTCTCTCTCTCTCTCTCTCAGCCTCTGTAACTCTACCTTTCAAAAAATAAGTAAATCTTTAACAAAAATACCAATACCTTAGAACCAAACTATTGGGGCTGGCACTGTGGTACAGCAGGTTAAGCCACAGCCTGCAGTGCCTGCATCCCATATGGGTACCAGTTCATGTCCTGGCTGCTCCACTTCCGATTTGGTTCCCTGCTAATGTACCTGAGAAAGCAGTAGAAGATGTTCCAAGTCCCTGGGCTCATGCACCCACGTAGGAGACCCAGAAAATCTCCTGGCTTCTGGCTGCAGCCTGGAATAGCCTTAGCCATTGCAGCCAATTATGGAGTGAACCAGTGGATGGAAGGTCTTCCCCTCTCCTGTCTCTCACTTAACTCTGCCTTTCAGATAATAAATAAATCTTTTTTTAAAAAATTTCATTTATTTAAAAAGAACCATATTGTTCCTATCAAGAAAACCTGGAAAAAAAATAAATCTTAACCTTTTAAGTCCACTAAATCTTCCATAATACAATCTCAGAAAGCTAATACCTAGAGCTGGTGCTTTGGCACAATGAGTAAAGCTACCATTTGCGATACTGGCATCCCATGTGGGCACCAGTTCTTAACTGCTACACTTCTGA